TCAACCCTGACGATCAGTGGGGTGATAGATGTTGCAGCCAGATGGCCCTCAAATCCAGAGCTCGAGAGGTAATAGAGAGGTTAAGGCACTTGCCTTGCACTCAGCACACCTGGTTTGATCCCTGGTGCTACATAGTCCCCTGAGCCATGCCAGGAGTAATCCGTGAGCACAGAACCAGGAGTAAGCCCTGAGCACCACTGGGTGCTGTGAACGCCCCAAACACACACATGCACACGCACACAATCCCTCAACAAAATTGGGGTCATTTTGCCGGGGAGGGTGGACGACTGATAGTGCTCCAGGCTTCCACCTGGCTCTGTGCTTAGGGGTCACTCCTAGTGGGGCTTGGGGGAACATATGTGGTGCTGGGGATTGAACCTGCATCAGCTGGTTGCAAAGCAAGTATCTTACCTGCTATACTAACTCGGCCATTGTCTGTCCCTCCCCTCCCTGTTCCTCCCTGTTCCTCCCCTGCCCTCCCCATTCCTCCCCTCCCTTTCCCTGTCCTCCCTTCCCCTCCAGTAGGCTGAGGAGGTAGGCCAGAGAGCTGGAACACTTGCTTCAGTGTTGGGGAGACATTCTCGTGTGGTCCTCAGCACCACCCAGTCTCCTGAGCACTGTTGGGAGTTTCCTCGACCACTGCCGTGTGTGTGCCTTCAACAAAGAAAGCAAGCCTATCCACACAGCTGCTCTTTTGGTTTATAATGTGCACACAAGGAATTTCAATTGTGTTTAATGTAACGATTTAAAGACTTCGGTGAAGGAACAGAGTTATGCAACCCCACAAGCACAGTCGAGGTTTAGGACAGCTCCCAATGCCTGAGAAGGTCCCTCGGCCCTGCCCCCTCAGTCCCACCCTTCCTGCTCCAGCCCCTGCCACACACAGATCTACACCCTGGTCTCTACCACTAAAGGGTCTTATATTCTTATTTTGTTTTTTGTTTTTTTGTTTTTTTTTTTTTTTGCTTTTTGGGCCACACCCAGCGATGCACAGGAGTTATTCCTGGTTCATGCACTCAGGAATTACTCCTGGCGGTGCTGGGGGACCATATGGGATGCTGAGAATCGAACCTAGGTCGGCTACGTGCAAGGCAAACGCCCTACCCGCTGTGCTATTGCTCCCGCCCCTCTTATATTCTTTGGGAGGAGGAGATTTGGCCCACACAGCAGAGCTCAGGGATCACTCCTGGTGGGGCTCCGGGGACCATATGGGTATGCCGGAACTCGAACCCAGTCAGCCACGTGCAAGGCAAGCACCCCACCCGCTGTACTATCTCTCTAGCCCGCAAAGGGTCTCTATTCTTCTGAGGTGAAGAGAGAAATCTCTTCATCAGCATGTGGCTGTGGGGGGCTCCTCATGCCCCGCGACAGCTCAACAGCTCGAGAGGGTCTGACCTGACACTTTCCCGTGTCTGGGTGGAATCCCTGTGAGGCATCTGCTCCTGTGTTAGTGTTAGTCATCTTGAAACGTTTTGGGGAGGGTCTGTCATTTTTGTTTGAAGTGCGGGAGAAGGAGGGAAGGCTATCAGGAACCTTGCCTTTGGCGGGGGTGGGGGTGTGGGTGGGGTGTGGGGTCCTGACAAGGCTGACCAAACTGGCCCTTGGGGAGAGATCTTGGCCTTGCCCAGCGCTGCTGTGGATGTTTTGTAGGGGCATGTTTTGGGGGTTCACTTCAGAGTGAACTCACCAGGATGTTGTCACAGGAGAGTTCAGTAAGGCATGAAGTTGATGATACTCCTTCCAGCCGGCTTTGACCAGCCTGCCAGTCTCCTACTCATCTGAGGGACGAGGAAGGTTCCTGGGACAAGACCCAGACCTCCTGCCTGCAAGGCCGCCCTCCGCCCCCTCCCTCAGCAACGGTCTCCTCCTTTCAGCCCTCACTTGCTTGGGACCTGAATCTCAGAGACCAGATGGTGTCCGGGCTCACATGGCTCAGAGCTGAGATTCTGGAAGTGGGAGCATTCGACCGTTCACCCTCCCCCATCTCCTTTCCCCACAGGAAACCGAGGCTGCCGACGCCCTTTCTGTTAGGGTGAGTAGGGTAGGACGCGTCAGAGCAGAGGGCAGGTGTGGAATTTCCTGGCTCTTCTCAGGGTGGATGATGGCTTTTCCAAGTTTCATGGGAGGTGAATTTTGCAGAACATGAGACCCATGTATTTCAGATTAAAAAGTCTAAACCTTCCTGGAGCCCAGTAAGCCTTCAGCGCGCTGCTTGGGAGCGGCTCGGGCCTCTGGCCATGCCATTGCTGTTTCCTTCACATTTGGGTTTTGGAGCTTGCTCCATCCTCCCTGGGCTTTAGCCAAAGTCTTGTCTTGCCAACCCGTTTTCCACAAAGCTGCCAGACTGACTATAACCAGAACTTGTCACTACCTTCCCTCATTCCCCACGGGGTTTCTTGTCACCTTGAAATAAAACCCAAAGTCCTTACATTGCTATCCTAGGGACAGTCTCTCAGGACTGGAGCTTGCTCCTTTAAGTCCTTTAGCCAAAGCCTTTTTTTGGTCCTGCTCTGGGCCATTGTGGGACGCCCCCCACCTTCTTCTCCCCACTGGTGTGTGTGTGTATGTACACACACACACAGAGGTGCTTTTTGTTCGTGTTGATTTCTTACTGGTAACAGTTTGAAACCTGTCTAGTTGGTTCTAGCTATTGTTTGCGAAGATGAACAAATTAAGATTGAAGTCGTTTGCCTTCAAACAATAAACCAGTTTAGGGCTGGGTGAGATAGTGCAAGAGTGAGGGCACCTGTTCTCTACTTGAGCTTGATCCCCAGTACCACCTGCCCCCCGGCATTGCTGGTGAGGCCTTGGAGGCCCCCTGCCTCTCCCCCTAGCACTGCCAACTTTTCCTTCCTAAGTGCCTGGAACATACAAGATCTTTGTTAGACCCAAAGGAACTATAGAAAGTTCTTGTCTTGTTCTGAAGCAATTCCATTGACTCCTTATATTTCCAAGCCTGTCTCTGCAGCCAGGTTCCTGGCATTTTACTTCTTCATTATTTCCAGAAAGCAGGAGCTACCAGGAAGTGTACCATGAGCACTGGAGCAATGAGGGTGTTTTTACTGACAAGGGGCAGAAAATCTTAACTCAGATTGGTTGGATAAAACCTGGTTGGATATAACCTGGGAGTTTATTGGTCCATGGGCCTAGAAGGTCTTGGGGTGCTCCAGCTTTGGGTTTTGTGGGATTCAGAGGTCTAGTTGCAGGCTGAAGAGCTAGCACAAGCAGTAGGGTGCTTGCCTTGCACGTGGCTGACTAGGGTTTCATCCCCCGAGCACTGCCAGGGAGTAACCCCTGAGCATTTCTGGTTGTGGTCCAGAAACAAACCAAAAAAACCCAAAACAAAAGCAGAGGTCCAGTTGCTCTGCTCCCTGGTGGCTTTTTTCCGGTTTCATGAGGTGACAGAGTGCTTGCCAGCCGTGAAGAGGACCTGTCCGTTCCAGACCCCAAGTCTCCTTTGCATCCTGGAATGGCTGTGGGATGGGGCTGACACCAAGGATCCAGGGCTCTGGGATTCTCTCAGGGCTGGGCTATCCTGTGCTCCAAAAGCTCTGTGCCTTAGGACCCACTTCACTGAGAGAGGTGCAGGAAGTGGATGCTAGGCAGTAAAAGCTAGGCAGAGTTCGAGGCAATAGCAAGCTGGCCCATCACACTCAGTTAATCCTTCCAGTGAAGGGTGAATCCAGCCCTGTGCAGGGTGGTTAATGCCCGTTTGCCACCAGATAACCAAACTCATGTTCACATGGTTTGTGCTGGGTGAGCTGGGATTTGGAACCTGTTGTGTAAGGCTTCCAAGCCTGTGTGCTTTGCTGTGGCACTACTGTCTGACTTACGTACTCACAAGAGAGGAGGTTCAGGGGAGATCAAACCTCCTGGAGAAAACTTAAGAGTTCCGGGCAGGGTGGCGGAGCTCCTAGGAGGCACCCAGAGCACAGGAGAATATGCTGAGATGCCCAGGCCCAGAACCAGCCTGGGTTTTGAGTCCCGCCTGCACGAGCCAGCTTGGGCACTGAGCTCTTTGTTAAAGGGAGAGGAGACACCTCCGTTGAATGCAAGATGGCTTGAAGGGGAGAGGCCAGTGTGTATTCATGCCTTTCCACCTTTACCCTCGCCTCCCATCTCCAGCTCTGGGCTCGGAGGAAACATCCACAGATTGTAACCAAACCTGAGGTTTTGGAGACCTGGGCTAAATGCTGCCTTTGGGTGATGATTCCGTAATGATCTGTGAACGTGATTTGTGAAGTGGGTCTTCAGATACCTCCTCTGATGGGTGAAAGACAGGAACTTTGATTCTCAAAGTGCCCCCCTCAAAAAAAAAGATGCCTCCCCACCCACTTCCTCTGCTGTTCCACTTCCACCCTTTCTTCAAGGCCCATGTGAAGTCAGAAGAATCAAAACCAGAACTCGCCTTCTCAGTGAAGTCTGCTAGTAAAATCGCTGCAGAGGGTGCACCCTTACGGTGCTGGGCACTGAACCCAGGATCTCACACATGCACGCTGAGAGGCCCCTGCCCTTGTCTGCATGCCCAGACTGGCAACATTCCCAAATCCTTCGTGACCTTATCCTGCAGCTGTTGTGTTCCCCAAACCCAATTCTCTTGAAGTACCCCAAAAGTGAAATAGCAGCACTGGTAAGGTCTTTTTTTGATTTGTTTGTTTGTTTTAAATCTGATTATAGAAAAAAAATTTTAAGTATGGAATCAATTAAGTGCTTAGAATTCTGTATTTTTTAACTCAGACAATTTAAGATTGCTTATGTTGGTGAAAGTTACTTGGAAGGAGAAATAAGAAACTGTGGGAAAATGAGTGTTTTCTTTTTTTTAAATTGGGAGACAATTTCCTACTATGGCTTGAAATATCTTGGGGGGGTGTTTGGGAACAAGACTAAACTCAAATGTACACGTTTTGCTTGTGAGTATTTTTAGTTGGAGGTTGTGTAATGAGATCTAATTCCAGTTTTATTTATATGTAACTCTGTGTTTCCTTTTCTTTGTATTTTAGATGGAGCAGATTAAAAGGGCAAATAAACTGTTTACCAATGACTGTATATTCCTGAAGAAAACTTTGAACATACCAGTCATATCAGAGAAGCCTTTGTTTTTTAATGGACTCAACTCAATCGATTCTCCAGAAAATGAAACTGTTGATAGTGTCTCGCATGAAGAGGTGCCCGTGGTGGCCGAGGATGAGGATCTGTCTCCCCCTAGTCCCCCCGAATCCAGTATCCAGCCTGTGCAGCCGGAGGAAGTGTCAGCACAAGACTTCCTGCAGAGACTGGATCTACAGATCAAGTTATCAACACAGGCAGCCAAGAAACTAAAAGAAGAGAGCAGGTAAAAGGGGGAAAAGCAGGGGTTGGAGCCATAGCACAGCGGGTAGGGTGTTTGCCTTGTGTGCATCTGGCCTGGGTTCGAGTCCCAGCATCCCATATGATCTCCTGAGCACTTCCAGGAGTAACTTTTGAGTGCATGAGCCAGTATAATCCCTGTGTATTGCCGGCTGTGACCCAAAAAAAGCAAAAAAAAAAAAGGTGGGGGGAAGCAGGTTGGTGTGAGGTACTGAAAATGACTGTTGTATAAAGGCCACTCCTGGTACTGCTTGGGGGCCACTATGGCCACTCTGGTGGGACTCGTGAGGTCCATTGTTTCTCAGGGGCTCTGTGGTCCTGGGGATCAAATCTCAGTCTTCAGAGCAAGCACCTCAACACCTGAATAAATTACTTCTTTTCTTTTTATTCTTTAATTTTAATTTTTTTTATTTTTAGGTTTTTGGGTGGGCTGGAGCGATAGCACAGCAGGTAGGGCATTTGCCTTGTACATGGCTGACCCAGGTTTGATTCCTTCATCCTTCTTGGAGAGCCAGCAAGCTACCGAGATTATCCCACCCTCATGGCAGAGCCTCGCAAGCTCCCTGTGGTGTATCCAAAATGCCAAAAACAGTAACAGGTCTCACGAGACATGATTGGTGCCCACTCAAGCAAATCAGTGAACAACGGGAGGACGATGCGACCAGTGTTACAGGTTTTTGGGTCACACTTAGAGATCCTCAGGGGTTACTCCTGCTCTGGAATCACTGCTGACGAGCTTGGGGGACTCCAAGGGATGCTGAGAGATGCAAACCGGGTCAGCTGCATGCAAGGTATGCAGGCCTACCTGCTGTATGATTGCTCTGCCTTCTGGATAAATTATTTCTAAGGTGTTCTTGGACAAATTTTCTTTTGCTTTAAACATTCTATTTTAGGACTGCAGAGATAGTGCAGAGGTGATGGCTCTTGTCTCCTAGGCAAGAGATGCAGGTTTCATTCCTCAGCACCACATATAGTTCCTTTTGCACCATCAGGAGTGATCCCTGAGCACGGAGCTGGGAGTCATCCCCTGAGCATAGCTGGGCATGGCTACCAAACAAACACACAAACAAACCTGATACATGTGGGACACTGGGGAATCGAACTTATGACCAGATACTTCCAAGGTTGCAAAGCAGGTACTCTAAGCCACTGCTTGATTCTTCTGGGCCCTGTGTTTATTTACTGAACAAAGTTTGGAACAGTGACTTAAGCTGTATTTCTGTTTTTCAGAGAGGAAGAAAGTCCATATGCAGCTTCCCTATATCATAATTGATGATCAGGGGGTGCGAGCTAACCTGGATTTAAAGGCTGTTGGAAGGAACAACTGAAGATTCCAAGCATCCCTTTTGGATTGTCATCGAGCCCATTTTTAAATGACAATTATGTTTGACCTATAGCACTTGCACTGATGCTGACGTGTGTTCAGTTCACTCTGGCTGTCTGTCCTTTTAGTCTATTATGGCATGGCACTTTGGAGGTGGCAGTAGTTTTTAGACTAGCTTTTGTAAATACTAGCTGACATCAACATCAGACTATTTACATATTGAAGCTGAAAGTGATGTTTATCTCTTGAGAAATGCTAATTCTGTGAGAACACAGTTGCTGTTGAAGTGTAGACTTTGCTCTTGTTTTTATCTACATAAGTGCTATATATATATATTTCGATATGTATTACCTATTCTGTATTAATATGAAGAACCAAATTTTGTCTGCTATTTTGTAAAAATAAACTACAAAAGTCTGAACAAGAAAATAAACTATGTTTTCATATTAGAGCTTCGGTTTTTTCCAATGAATGGGATTATGTTTTTAAACTACTATTAAATAGTTTACTGATTTTTATTATAATTGCAGTTTTGAAAAGTTTCAATAATCAAAAGCTAATTTGTTACAGTAACCATATAGCTTGGCATTTTCACATTTGAGCTAATATGGCTCAGATATGATTGAAACATGGAATCGATCAAAAGAAGCAATAAAACAATATCATAATCTGACACATTGGTGATTTCTAGTTTAGAATTCATTGATAAATCACTGTATAGTGTTCTGTAATCACTGCTCATTTGAATTGAGGATTTGGTTTTTAACTCATATAATTTGAATTGTTTTATTATATGTATGTTACAGTAATAAACATGAAGAAGTATCTTACTATTTATACTTAAGTTACTTAAATACATCCTTTGGTCTTGATTTCTGTGTAGGCATGAGGTTAAATACGTCTATAAGATTTCATATAAATAAATATGGTACCAGAGATAGGGCACTTGCCTTGCATATGGCTGCCTGTGTTCAGTCCCTGACACCCCACATGGTCCCTGGTGCCCCACCAGGAGTGATCACTGAGTATAGAGCCAGGAGTAAAAACCTGAGCACTGCCTGATGTGCCCTCCCCCCCAAATAAATAAGTTCCCATATTTATCTTTACTCACTTATGTCCCCAAAAGTGTCTGCTTTCTATGGGACAAAGTACTTTTGTTTTCCTCCTTCCCCCCCCCCCCCCACTCTTCCTCCTTTCCTTCTCCCATCTTGGTTCTCCATTCTTCATGAAACAGAAACAAATGCCCATAGTATAACTGCTAGAGTTTGTGGCACCAGCAGGCAGAGATTCTACGCTGAGGCAAGGGATGACCTTAGGGCACAGATGGGAAGTGATAGCTGTCATCCTTGGCCTTGAATTGTTTGTCCAGAGAGTACATAATGCTTGTATTTCCCCCTCCTACTCATAATAGCTCAGGTTATTTTTGCTGTTGTTGCTTGTGTTTGGGGGTCACACAGGGAGATGCTCAGCATTCAGGAATTATCCTCGCTGTACTCAGGGGACCAGATGAGATGCTGGGAATGGAACCTGGCTGTGTATACTGGAAAAGGCTCAGGCCTCTATGGGGAACTAGGATATATTTTTTAAGACTTCACATGCTATTTAAAATATAAAATCATCAGAACTGAGAGCAATTCAAAAGACATAAATCCAAAAGTACTATTCAAAAGACATCAGCTCCAAATTGAAGAAATATTTTTTCTGAGTTTTTATGTCTAAAGTGTCTCTGTGCTATTTGTAGCTAAAATATCTCACCCCACATATTCAAGGCATTTTAATAATGCTGAATTTCAGAGCTGGGAGATAGTATAGTGGGTAGGGTTGTTGCCTTGTATACTGCTGACCTGGATTCAATCACCTGGTCCAAATATGGTCCCCTTAGCACTACCAGGAGTGAAGCCTGAGCATTGCTGGGTGTGTCCAAAAATAAGAAACAACTTCCTCTCCTGCCCCCCCCCCCCACCAAAAAAAGCCCCTTTGAATTTGTCATGCTGTGGTTGAACTGTGCTAGTGTTCTTGAGTCTATCCTCATTCAGAGCAGCTCTGAGGTGGCAGTAAGTACAGAGATAGGAAACCTAGGGTGCAATCCCAGCTTCACCACTTCTATACCAGATGTGTTGGTGCATGTCCTGTGCCTATGAACCCAGTTTTCTCATTGATAAAATAGGTCACATGACTTCCCTTTTGGTGCTCGGTAGGAGCTGATGACTATCAATGTGCTCTAAAAGCCTTAATAAGCTCCTTAAATACAATCATGTGCGTGTGTGTGTGTGTGTGTGTGTGTGTGTGTGTATGTACGTATGTAACACCCAGTAATAGTCAGGGCCAGCTTACTCCTGGCTCTGAGCTCAGGGATCACTCCTCGGGCTGTTTGGGATACTATAGGGGGTGCTAGGGATTGAACCTGGTTAGCCATGTGCAAGCAGATGCCCTACCTGCTATTCAGTCTCTCCAATGCCCTACATTTTTAGTTGTGAAAAATGCTGGATAGTAAAACTCGAAAAAATGAGTGGATAGGATGGCTGGGTGGCAACCATTTTCTCTCTGATGTGGAAGCAGTCTCTTGGGAACACAAATGTGGATGAAGCAGAGTCGACATGATATCAAAGGTGTCATTAAAACAGCCTGTGTCTTGGCAAGTCATTTTAGGTTTTTTTTTTCTTTTTTGGGTCACACCCAGCAATGCACAGGGGTTACTCCTGGTTCATGCACTCAGGAATCACTCCTGGCGGTGCTCAGGGGACCATCTGGGATGCTGGGAATCGAACCTGGGTTGGACACGTGCAAGGCAAATGTCCTACCCGCTGTGCTATTGCTCCAGCCCCTTGGCAAGTCATTTTATTTTATTTTTTTATTTTTTATTATTTATTTATTTATTTATTTATTGAATCACCGTGGGAAAGGTTACAAAGCTTTCAGGTTTAGGTCTCAGTCATGCAAATATCAAACACATTTCCCTTTACCAATACTTATTTTTTACCATGAAGAACCCCAATAAAACCCCACCCCCCACCCCTCCCAGTCCCTGTGGGGCAGATGAATTCTAGTTAACACTCTATCTGCTTTGATTAGATTCATTGTTTCAATAAAAGATTCACCACTATTATTTAGAGTTTACCCCCCCCCCCCCCAATCAGACATGCTGAAAAAGCATTGTGAAGTGATTTGCTTTCTACAGCTGGGTTCAAGAATTAAATGTTGGTTTTGGATTTCTGCTATTTTACTTATTGACCCTGGAAGTATTTCTACTGAAAGTCAGATAGTTAAGAAATTGGTTTCTGTGCTCTGGAGTCGTGGCCTTGCTGGAGAGCCGCTCGTGGGGGGCAACTGGTGGCCTTGGTAGGGCGTGAAGGGCGGACCGAAACGCCTCCCTTCCCATGAGGTTTTAGTCGCCCCCACACCCCCGGCTCATACCTGCTGTCCACAAGGCTCCCATGCGGCCGCCATCTTTCTTTCCAGAGAGGAGAAGGCGACTGGGGCAACACCCTTTCCCCTCCGGCCAGACATGATGGCCTGGATTAACGCAGTCTGTTCACTTTTCTGCTCCAAGCTGCCGGGTTCTGCATTAAGTCCTTGTGCTTCTGGGACCGTGGCCGTGCTGGAGAGCCGCTCGCGGGGGGCAACTGGTGACCTCGGTAGGGCATGAAGGACGGACCGGAACGCCCCCCTTCCCATGAGGTTTTAGTCGCCCCCACACCCCTGGCTCATACCTGCTGTCCACAAGGCTCCCATGCGGCTGCCATCTTTCTTTCCAGAGGGAGGAGGGCGGAAGGGACCAACACCCTTTCCCCTCCGGCCAGACATGATGGCCTGGATTAACGCATAGTCCTTTCACTTTCCTGCTCCAAGCTGCTGGGTTCTGCATTAAGTCCTTGTGCTTCTGGGGCTGTGGCTGTGCTGGAGAGCCGCTCATGGGGGGCAACTGGTGACCTCGGTAGGGCGTGAAGGACGGACTGGAACGCCCCCCTTGGCAAGTCATTTTAAATGTATTCTAGTTTTTGCTTTGGGGACCACCCCTGGCTATTCTCGGGAGCCACTTCTCCCTGTGCTCAGGGGACCAGGCAGTGTTGGGGACAGTACATGGGCCTCCTGTATGCAAAGCATGTGCTCCAGCCCTGCGCTTGCTGCCCCAGCCCCTGGCCAGTGTGATGAGACCACGGGTGTTTCGGTTCCCTCCCTGCCCCCCAGCAATACCTGGCTGCTTTGGCACATTTGTGAGTTTAGTGTTTGCGTGTCAGGCTTTGGTTTGGGTTTTGGCAAGCGTAGAGAAAGGAAGCAGGTGTTCCGACAGGTGAGCAACAGCCCTTTCACTTCTCTGTAGTGTTTCTAAAGCTTCACCTGCCAGTGACATACCAAAGGTGGAAGTGTTCAAGACCAACATCCCAAGACTGAAGGAGTGGCGGCTAATCCACGAAGCATTATGTTCTTTTTTTGTGGTTTTCCAAGTGAACACACAGAGACAGGCGTGGGTTTATACCACAAGTGTCTAAAGCATGTGGAGGGCTGAGAACGTGTCAGTGTTTCAAGAGTGCCTGGGCTGCTGTGTGTGGTTTCCAGTACTTCTCTTGAGGCAGTGGTCTGGAAGGGGGAGTGGGTGTGAGTGCTTGGTGGTAATCTACTGAATGGAAAAAGCATGTACTGTGTACTTTTCTGTAGGTTTGAGACACCATTTTGAGGGAGACGGTTTGTTGGGCCATGTCCAGCTGATTGACAGACTATTCCTCAACTCAGTGTTTAGGAGTAACTCCTGGTGGTATTCAGAAGACCGGGGATAGGACCCAGGGAAGTGACCGGCACAGCTGCACGCAAGGCAAATGCCTTACCTCCTGCACTGTCTCTCCAGCTCCGTTATGTCAGTTTTAAATGCCATTAAAAAATTTTTTTTAGCAGGTCCACACCCAGTGGTACTCAGAGCTTACTCCTGGCTTTGCACTCAGGGATCACTGGTATGAGGCAGACATTATGCTGTGCTGTGAATCAAATCTAGGTCAGACAAGTGCAAGGGAAGTGTCTACCCACTGGACTGTCTCTCTGGCTCCAAAGCCAGGAGAGCACCTGGGCTATTGTGTGTGGTTTCCAGGGCTTTGTTTGAGGCAGCGGCTGAGAAAGGGGAATGTGTGTGTGTGTGTGTGTGTGTGTGTGTGTGTGTGTGTGCACTTGGTGGCACTTCTGGTCTACAGGGACCAGAAGCTTGTGATTGGTTCACAGGGAAAGGGATGATTTGTATCTTGATTTCTTACTTAGTGATGGCCCTTCTTGCTCTGTTAGAAAGCATTGACTTGGATCAAATCCAGTTTAGGTTGCCCAAAATGCTGCCTTACCCAATCTTAAATTCAGTCCAATATTCTTAAATTCTTATCCCTGGGGACTGGAGTGATAATATATTGAGTAGAGTGTTTGCCTTGCACTTGGTCAACCCGGGTTTGATTCCCAACACCCCTCTGGTCCCTGAGCAATGCCAGGAGTAGTAATTGAGTATGTTGGGTGTGTCCCCCAACTTCCTTCACCCTCCCCCCCTAAAAAAAAAGTCAAAAGCAACATATCCCTGACTGAAATGCAAAAATCCGCGGGGAGAAAAGGCAGCTAGACAATCTCAGCTTATATACAACTTTACTTTTCAGAGAGGTTTTGTGGTAAGGAAGCTATGGTCGAGCCGCTGCTAAGAGTTTAGCTACTGGAAATGCAGCACTTTCTACTAACCCTTGGGTGAAAATCACTTTGTCACAGAATCAGAAGTGTGGAAGCTAGGTGGTTATGTTTTCTGAAGCAGTGGGAAGCCTGTGGGATCGTTGGCCCCTTTTTACAGGCTGCTATAAATGCGCTTGATGGCGTCGGCCTCCTCTTGGTCCAGGATGCCTTTCTCCACGTACACGTCCGCTTGCTGGTTGATGAAGTCCCTCATTTTAGAAAGGTCATAACCTGGAAAAGAGCATTATCGTATGAGGAGCCAAGATCAAGAAAGACTCTAAGGAAAGATCATTCTAAGGATGACCATCAGCTCCGTGATCAACAGTGTTTTAGTTCCTGGTGTTTGTGTGGTACTTTGCGGTATCAAATCATATTTATACGGGTGACACTGTTATCCGTTCATCGCAGCCCTTGGGAGTTATTCAGGTGACGAGTGCCCCTCTCAGGGCTTTGCAAAATTTCATGATCAGAACATAAGTTTTTCATTCAGTAGATCTGGGACCCAGATTCTGCATTACTTAATTTATTTTGGTGATGCTGGGATTGAGGCCAGGGTTCCTTCTTTTGGTTGTTTTGTTTTTGGGCCACACCTGGCAGTACACAAGGCTTACTCCTGGCTCTGCGCTCAGGGATCACTTCTAGCAGGGATTGCAGGACCTTATGACTGGGGATTGAATCAAGGTCAGACTTGGGTTGGCTGCGTGCCAGTCAAGCGCCATAGCTGCTGTACAATTGCTCTGACTCTAAACCCAAGCTTTGTACATGCCAGGCCATTCTTCTCAGTGAAGCTGCATCCCTGGCCTACAGTTGACATTATTTTGGTTTGGGGCCACACCCGCCTATGCTCAGGGGTTACTCCTAACCGCACTCAGGGATCCCTTCCAGAGGAAACCAGAGGAGATGCTGGGGATTGAGCCTGGGTTGGCCATGTGCAAGGCAAGTGCCCTACCAGCTGTATTATCACTCCGGCCTCCTACAGCTGACAGTTTAAACAAGCTCTCAAGAGGTGCTGATGCTGCTGGTCCAGGACATGTGATCACAGGCAGTCAAAGTTGTGAACAAAACTTCCAAACCTTCTTATATGATTGATGCCCCTGTTGCTAAGGACAACCCACTTTTCTTTCCCTAATTAAGAACTTGCTTTATTTTCATGAGATTTGAATGATGTGCGTGGACTCAAAGGCCAAATCACAACCTCTTTATACTACCTCAGTCCTACTTCAGAAAAACTTTCCATGGAAGAGCACTTGGCTTGTGTGTTGAGGCCCTGGGTTCAATTCCCAATGGCACCAACGCTCTTTCTCCTAACCATCAAACTGCCCCCCAAAACAGGCATTCAATAAGGTGGGAAGATGACCCAAACAGAGCTGAGCACATGCTTGCTTTCAGGACCTCCCCAATCCCTGTCATTGGCACTGCATGGTTCCCAAGCGCTGCTAGGAGAAGCTCCAGTCCCCAGGTGTGACACCCTCAAAAAAGAAAATGAAAAGAAAAACCCAGATATTGAGAAAGAAGGCTGCTTGTAGCATCTTTCTTTGCGGAAGGCTTCCAACTAAACGCAGGGGGCCTGGGGCAACTCTCAGTCAGCCAGATCGGCAGCTGAATGTGTGGGCTGCTCCCTGGTGCCTCCAGAGCAACGCCTGGGGAAGTTAACGCTGTGGCGGATAAAACCACATTTCATCTGTTGCATGCATCTTAACCGGAAACTGTGCTCTCTCTCTCCAGCCTCTGTGGCATCATTTTGAGGCTTAAAAATAATCCTTAGGAGTCAGAGATAGAACGGGGGGGGGGGGGGGGGGGAAGGTGCTTGATTTGCACATGATGACCTGGGTTTGAGCCCTGGCACCGCATATGCTACCTCAAGCGCCACCAGGAGTGACCCTGAGTACCGAGTTAAGAGGAAACCCAAGGCCGCGCTTTTCAAGGAGCGTATATGTGCGCCACCTTTGCTCTAGCATCTCTCTTGGCCCCAGATACCATACTGAAGGGCTGCCTACAAGATGCCCTAAGGAGGAGGTACTGGAGTTTATGCCCCATAGGATGTCTAGGCCTCCCACTCCCTACACTTCTTGGGGTCCCCTCTCTGTACTGTGAGTTTCCAGTGGTTGATTTCTTTGGGGACAGGGTGTTGGGGTTCATTTTGACTGCTGGCAGTTCCTGGAACCAAGCCATGCCTCCTATAATTCTGTCAGGAAAAGAGAAAAGAAGAGAGGCGCTCTAAGGCCCACACCCCCGCGGGCTACCTCTCAGCTCACCTGGAGAGAATCTGAACCCAATTAGCCCCAGTCCTTGGCCTCCTCCAAACTCATGGGGGTTTCGGGATGAGCAGAGCTAAGTGGGCAGAGAGCTCATGCCAATCTACCCAGAGGGCATGCTAATTCTGGTGGTTCAAGTGTGAGGGTGAGAGTGAACTTTGCAGCCAGCACTAGAGAGTGTCGCCTCACCCAAAACACATGAAACTTCATTTCAAAGAGGAAGAGTCGGGACTGAGAAGAGCAGAGTTGGGTTCTGAACCCCAGAGCTGAGTCATTGCTCTAGGGCCCGAGGGTATTGAGTGCCAAGCATCTTCCTGGCACAGATCAAAGTCTCAGTAAGTACCTGGCTAGCTGTGGTGGGGTTTCAACTTGGCCTTTCTCATGGCATGTAACAAACTCAAGCCGATATACTGTGTGCACTGAGACCTGAGGGTTTTCTGAGGTGCCTCTGGGCACTGCCATGGGGTTGGCACCTTGGGGTGAAACCAAGGGCAGAGTCCTGAGAGCTGATGTGAAGAGGTCGATTTGATTGGAAACAGAAAACTATTTTGCCATTGAAATGAAACAAGGGCATCTTTCCGACAGAGCCATGTGTGCAGTGCAAGAAAGCTGGAGTTCCAGCCCGCTCTGTCCCAGCTGACTCCCAGCAGACACAAGGCAGAAGCCTGTTTACAAGGCTTAAGGTTTTCTAAGGTTCTAAGGTGGTCAGGCCTGAAAGAACCAAGGTCCAGCTTTACTATCTTTTATAATTGTTGTTTTGGGGCCAAATGTGGACATGCTCAGGCTTCCTCCTGACTCTGCTTTAAGATCACTGCTGGCAGGGATCCATGGACCATATAGGGTGCCAATGAACCAACCTGGGTCGGCATTGAGCAAGGCGAGTGCCCTAACCACTGTTCTATCACTCTGACTCTTCACTATCTTTCTTAAGGCAGCAAAGGATTTTTATCACATCCTCTGGAACTGCCTTTTTCTGGACTTAGAAGGAGATTTGGGTCAACCAGGTCCCAGGCAAACAGAGGGTAGTAGGTCAGAGGCTTAAGATTAGATCAAAGCTGATAGTTAAGTTTTTCTGCCCACACTGCTGAAGCCACTATAAGTCCTGGAAATCCCTAAGGCTTTGGGAGATGACCCCAAGGTTGGCTTGGAAAGAAGGAGCATTGGGGCATTTATCTTGCACATGTGAAGCCCTGGGCTCCGTCTCTGGGAACATACACACACACACACGCGTGCGCACACACACACACACACACACAAACACACTGAAATTTTAGGGCTGGGGAGATGGTTTAAAGAGATGAAATCCACACTTTGCATGCAAAAGCCCTGATTTTGATCCCTAGAACTTCAAGTTCTGGGGACTCTTTGGGAGAGTGTGTTTCAATCCCCCCTCACTTCCTGGAGACCAGAAGAGAACGGGACCCAACACTAATTCACAGCTTTGCTATGACTAAATAATCTGTTCGCTAATCTATTGAGTTGAGTCTAAATCTTTCTTTGATTCATTGCCCCCAGCTGACTCCTTTTGCATGAGGTGCACAAATGTTGCACTCTCCAGAATTTTCAGTTTCAATTTCTTTAAAATAAAACGAGAGGTGAAAGACCCCTGAGAAAGTAGCTGAATGCAGGATTCTCCTATTGTCCACCGACCTCCAGTTTTTCTTTACCCATTTCTTTTTTAATTTTTGGGCTACACCCAACAGTGCTCAGAGTTTACTCCTGGGTCTACAGTCAGAAATCACTCCTGGCAGAGCTCAGAGCACCATAGGAGAAGCCCGGAGATTGAACCCCGGCCAGCCACATGCAAGGTAACTAGTCTACTGGCTGTCCTATGGCTCTGCCCCCTGGAAAGCTCTGTTCTTAACCCGACTCTGCTTCCTTCTTTGTGGTTGTGACCACCTTCCCGGCCTAATGTGCAGGTCCCTGCACAGTCCTGCTGGGTTCCAGGGCAATGGAATAGCTCCAGGTCCTGACACATTTTCTCCCTTTCTGTCTTACAATTTAATGACTCCTTGACAAAGGGACATTTGCAGTCATTGACCTTTCCACTGCAGCTGCCGGTGTTCTGTCTTCCAGCAGGCTCTGTCCCTGTGTGGAGACAGGCCCTCTCTTCTCTGGCCTATGTGAGGCCACGCCTGGCCCCAACTTTGCTGACACAGGTTATGTGAGCAGGAGTTTGGGCCGGGCACTGCATCTCAGGGGCTTCCAAGAGCCTGAGTCAGCACTGAAGGTGAGTGATGGGCTCTTAGGTCTTCAACTTGCAATTCTTTAAACTTTGACACTTTTTTCTTTTTTTTTTTTCTTTTTGGGTCACATCCGGCGATGCACAGGGGTTACTCCTGGCTCATGCACTCAAAATTACTCCTGGCAGTGCTCTGGAGGCCATACGGGGTGCTGGGAATTAAACCTGGGTTGGCCGCGTGCAAGGCAAACGCCCTACCCACTGTGCTATCACTCCAGCACTGAACTTTTGACTTTTTTTTCCCTATAATCAAATGAGAAGGAACAGCCTTTGCTCAAAAGGCCAAATTGAAGAACTAGAGCTTCCTATTTCTTGAGCACCTGTGAATCACCTACCGTCTCTGGGCCTGAGTGCAGGCTTTGACCTGACTGGACAGGAGGAACCTTGAACAAGGACTTCAAGAAGCGGTTGTGGCTCTCAATTTATAACCACACTGATGCTTACCTTCCTTATTCCCTTTTTTGTTGTGTTTTTTCAACCATTCAATATTTTTCCTGATGGCTTCCAAATAGGCCTCTGTTTTCCCTGGAAAGACCAAGAGATGCCAAGTCAAACACCCAGAATATCACTGCAACAAATTTTGCTTCTATATTTTTGTTTGCTTCGCTTTTGGTCCACACCCAGTGAGGCTCGGAGATTACTCCTGGCTCAGTACTCAGGAATCATACCTGGCGGGTTTGGGGCACCATCTGGGATGCCGGGGATTGAATTCAAGTCGGCTGCATGCAGAGCAAGCGCCCTAGCCACCATGGTACTATCTCTTGGGCCCTGTAGCTCTTCGTAACGCTCACACTCTTGCTGAGAACAGACCCAACAGTGGCCTCAGGAGCGCTTGTTAGAAGGTGTCCCTGGCACGGTGTGGGGGATGTGGGTCAGGAATGTGTCATAGTGGCGAGAGTGTCTCTGACACAAAGTGGGCCAGGAATGTGGCACAATGATGAGCGAGTGTCCCGGTGTGGTCGGGAATGTGGCACAGTGGTGAGAGAGTGTCCCTGACACAGAGTGGGCCAGGAATGTGGCACAGTGGTGAGTGTCCCTGACACAGTGGCGAGAGAGCATGCCGGTGTGACTTGGGAATGTGGTGCAGCCATACAGCACTTGCTTGCACGTGTCAAGCCCTGAGTTCGATTCTCGGCACCGCGGGTACAATGGTGCTGTGCATATTGGTGGTGGGCTGATCAGGAGCATGTGTGGGGAGATGAGACTCCAGGAGACAGGACCAGGCCGGCAAGTGTGTGTGAAGGAGCAAATCACAACCGGCTGAGGAGCTCCACAGCAAGTCTTCATCAGGAAACAGGGAAGATGGGCGCCTCCGGTTCTCAGACTGGCTCATTCCTACTTAAACACAGTTCTCCACATTGTATTACCAGGTTAAAAACCAGGTTGGAGCTGGAGAAGGGGTTCAGGGTCAGAGCACAGGCCTTCAGTATATTAGGCAACTTTTTTGTTTCATTTTGTTCAGTTTTGGTTCCATTTTGGGCCACGTCCTGGGTGCTCAGGGCTTACTCTTGACTCTGCACTCGAGGTTCATTCCTGGTAGTGCTCAGGGGACCATAAGGGATTCTGGGGATCGAACTCCACATGCATGGCAAGCACCCTGCCTGCTATAATATATATTTAGCCCCTAGGACCTGACTCAGTACTAGTTTAAGTTCAAACTTGGCATCACAAAATTTAAATTTTTTTTAAGAGTGCAGGGGCGTAGAGCACCGGCTTGTGCACATCTTACAGGCATGGGCTCAAGTCCCCAGTGTTTCACACACATGCTGTGACACTGCCGTCCTGACACTGGAGCCCAGCAGTTTTGCTGCCAGCAATCCCAATGGCCACACTTTGTAGTCTGTGATGGGCTGCATGCACCACAGCCAGAAAGGGGAAGCAGCTCTGCAAGGAAAAAGGTGGGTGGCCTGTGTTCATGACAGCGTTATTTATTAGGGCTATTTATTAGGCCTTGGGTATGGGAACAGCCCTGGTGCCCCACAGCAGCTGGGTGGATAAGGAAATAACGATATATGCACACGAGGAAATCTTGGCTGTGGGCTACAACCTGTTGGCATCAGGCTGAGAGAAATGAGTGAAAGAGAGAACAGACACTAGTCACTCTCGTGGACTATTAAGAAACGGGGGACAGGCAGTTGCCTTTGGAAACGGGGCCTGAGATTCTGACAACAACTAAATTGGCCGTGGGTGCTGGGGGGGAGGGGTGGTGAGCAGAAAGGGCGGGACAAAGAACCCAAGGACACTGGTGGAAAAATCTCGGGAGTCTGGTAGTGAGTTCAGTGTAGTGAGTGTCTGCAGAAATACCAATATTAGTTATTTGTGTTTGGGGGCTCTAGCTGGCCCAGTGCTAAGGGATCACTCCCGGCAGGGCTCAGGGAACCACAGGGAAAACCAGGGATCAAACCTGGGTCGGCCACATGCCAGGCAAGCACATTAACCCTTCGACTATCCAGCTTTGAAGGTATTTTTTATGATAGAAGCCAAATCACGATGGAAAGATCTGGCAGGACCTGGGTAGCCTCGCATCTGCCAGCTCTTGCATTCAAGTGCAGGTTCAGTTGGCTGAGAATCCTTTGATAGGACCCCCTCCCCCAAGCTTCAGAACCTCGCCCTCAACAAAACAAAATCCAGAAACAAACAAAAATGTCCTGGTCAATTTTTCAGCCAAGGAAGATATATTCCAATCAAAATATCTGAAAGCTAGAATTGGGAGTGATCCCACAACAACAGAACAAGGTGAATCCAACATTCAGCCAAGCTCAGGAGTGCCCCGTTAGAACCCTGCTTCCCTGCCTCTTTTTCCCTCCTCGACTTGGTTACCCTCCTGTCTTCACCTCCCACCGCCCGTCATCTCACTTGGCGCTGCCATCACCCCCATTTATGGGATCTTCACCTGTGCCCTTCTGGATCATTTCCCCCTCTCTCCACCCCCGTTGAGAAACGCTGCTCTAATCACGCTCTCCATTTGTGTCCTATTCCTGTCCTATTCCTGTCCTCTTCTAAAAGCCGAGAGCTGCCCCGGTAACAGGGGATATAAGCAGGTGTTCTGAGCGCCTGGGAGAAGCAGCTGGTTCCTATTTACATTTTCCTCTCTCTCAAGAGCAAAGGCAGACCTTCTATTTACATGGCGGGCCAGGAAGCCCATGAGAGTTGGTTTTGGAAAGCTCTGCTATATTTTTTCCAAATTTATTTCCGCTTCCTTTGGAAAAAAAAATAGCTCATGGCTGAGGTAATATGGCACAAGGCTTAAAGCATATGCTGAAGCAGTGGGAAAAGGCCCAGAATCAAGATGCAGCCCAACTTTTCTGGCTGATCTGGATTTTAGCTCTATAAAAGAATAGTCTCTCTCTCTCTTTTTTTTGGGGGGGAGGGGGCGTCAAACCCAGCGATGTACAGGGATTACTCCTGGCTCATGCACTCAGGAACTACTCCTGGTGGTGCTTGGGGGACCATATGGGATGTTGGGAATCGAACTCGGGTTGACCGCGTGCAAGGCAAACGCCCTACCCGCTGTGCTATGACTCCAGCCCCAAGAACAGCCTCTTTAATATTGAATGTGTTCTCACTCCGGTATGTTCTATCCTGATCTGCCTCCCCACTGCTCTTGAAAATATTGCAGAAACAGGGGCCAGAGATATAGTATAAAGAGCAGGGTGCTTGCACACCGCCTATCCGGGTTCAATCCCTGGCACCCCATGTGGTCCCACATGCCCAGTCAGGAGTGATCCCTGAGCACAGTGGCAGGAGTAATCCCTGAGAACAACCAGGCCTGCCCCCCCCCCGCCCAAATTGGAACGAAAAAGAAAATACTGCAAAAATCCATAGAGTCAATATTTTGAGGCAGAAGCAGGGGCAGTACAGGAGATAAGATATTTGTTTTGGGTATGACTGCAGAGAGGGAAACTCTAGTTAAAATTCCTGGCACCACCTATGATTCCCTGAGCCCCTCCAGGCCAGGAAAAGCCCCTCAGCACTGCCAGGTGTGACCCAAATCCCTCTCCCCCCCCCCACCAATATGTTGAATCTTGAATCTACTCAGAATGGTAGTTTTCAAAAAGAATGCCTTTAACAATTAAGTTTGCTATAGCACTTAAAATTCTGTTTTTGATGGGGAGGGGGTTTGATCTACACCCAGTAGTGCTCAAGGCTTACTCCTGGGAGTGCTTGAGGGACCATATTTAGTGGCAGGGATTGAACTGGGGTCAGTCCACGCGAGGCAAGTACCTTACTTACCCCCTCTGTACTATCTTTCTGGCCCCAACTGCTTAAAATTCTGTTTAGTAAAAATGACATATTTATTGGTTTTGAGCTACATAAAGCAAGGCAACTATTATTGGTATAAAGGATGCTGACAGAGGCTCCAAAGACATTCAACTCCTGAATTTCTGTGCAATGATGGCGAGGGACAGGCCCGTGCACTACGAATACTGGGACAGTCAAAGGACATGAGCTTAAGACCCAGCTGGTACCTTTTTGACTCTGGGGTCTCACTCTGGAGTGACTTTGGTCTCTGAGCCTTAGGTTCCTTGATTGTAGGTGAGAGGTGCATTTAAAGATCCTGCTTTCTCTCCATGTCCTTCCCCGTCCTGGAACAAGCTGTGTGCATGGCCAGTCTCCTGAGCTGAGATCTTGGGACACTTGGTGACCTTCTGGGTCAAGTCTGAACTCACTGATTTTGGACATTTTTAGCACAATGTCTTGGGGTTAGAATAAAGGCTTGGACTTTCTCCTCTTCTGTTGCTTTCAAAACAAGGGCAGTCACATGATTTAGTACATTTATTGTCAAGTTATTAATGAAATGGGCCACCCTCTATTTTTCCGAGCTTTTCTGAAGTACAAGAATGAAAGACTGTTTAGGTAAAAGCTATCTTAGAGATGATGCCTCGCAACCAAATTCACTATCTGCTGACAAACCAAACAAATGATCATGCTGGGAGGAGTTGATGGGTATGAGGATGCTTATCTCATCCCTTGGACGACTTCTAAAAAGACTTCCAGTGACTCATGGAGCAGAAGAGAATGAGTAAACATAGAACTGGCAAGAAGAGCCATACTGAGATCATGGAATAATGTTTTAAAGCACATTTCTTTTGTCTCCGGAGAGCAATTTATTTTAAAAAATGAAGCCACTTCAGGCTAGAGAGGTAGGACAAGGGTCAGGGTGCGCAGCTTACACACAGCTGACCCCTGATTGATCCCCAGCACCATATGGCCTCTCAGGCATTGCCAGATACAGCCCTGGAGGTTCTCCTGAGGTTCCTTGGGTGGTCTGGGAAATCCCTGGCATCTTCATGCCCTCAAACTGAACCCCTGGACTGGATGAGAACTGCCCAGAGGGGCTCACAGGGTCCCCTGAACATCACCTGGGAGACCAAAAGAAAATAAAAATTAAGTGACTTTTCAATTTAATTGAAATTAGAATAAATTCAATCTCACTGGCATCTGCCCAAATTTAGAAAAAAATTTTTTTCACTTAAAAAGAGTAATTTTTTTCACTGAACTTTACACTTGAATTCAGCATTAAA